TTTGAATAGCTCGGGCGGCAATACACCGATTTGCTGTTCTCAGACTGGTGATTGCTATTCGAACTTCTTCATGGATGGGCAATGGAACGTCTGCTCCATCGTCATCGAATGAAGAATCGGGTTCGCTATCTCCTGGCGTTGTACGTCCACTGCCATTCAGCAGGCTGAAGAAGTGTTCCCTCCATAATTTAAGTATGCTCTGGGCATCGGTGACTAGATCAGCTTTGGGATTCTACAAGAGTATGTTCCCATGTAGAATTTTCGAGCATTAACTCTTCGGCTAGCTTATCAAACTTATCAAGCTCACCATGCTCACGCATTTCGGCCTCTTTCTTTTTCTGTCTGAAAATGCCTTACCTATTCAATTCTCAGTATCTACCCCATCCCGCACGTGTTGTGGTCGATCGTAACGTTGCGAGGTAGGCAGCTTGTTGCTCTTCGCTGCGACACGGCACTCCTCGTCGTACCAGCTGTTCTTTTGTACTTTCCGAAAACCAATAGTTTCGGTTGCAGCTGTAAGTAAAGAGTTTGAAATGCCGTCCCACAGTTCCCTTATACCGAGTTGTTGACGAGTGCCCTCRGAGAGCAGGGGTGCAAGCCGAGTAGAAAATCGTTCGGCTGTCTGTTATGATTGCAGCTTCTCGACGTCGAACCTTCCTTGTGTTTGTTGTTGGTGCGAATCTTGGCTGCAACAAGATAGTGGTCCGAGTCGATGTTAGGACCTCGGAGCGCATGGACACCTAAAACACTGGGGACGTGTTTTCCGTCTATCACAACATGATTGATCTGGTTGGTGGTTTTTCGATCCGGAGACAGCCAGGTAGCTTGATGAATCTACTTATGCTGAAATCTAGTACTACTGATAACCATATTTTGGACCCCGGCGAAGTCGATAAGGCTCAACCCATTTGGGTGAACTTCTACACATGAATCCATCCCACCATCGCTCTCGTCAAATATATCTTGTCAAAGCATACGAAGATTCACACGTCTACGGATTGGTCACACGTTAACTACTCATGCACACCTATTAAAAGGATCAGTGAAGCCTAGCTGTCCTTTTTGTATTGCAAATGACCTAGCTACAACACATCTTCTCAATAGCTGTCAGCAACTGTATACACTTAGAACTGCAATATTTGCAGAAACAAAACCATCTGCTATGCTGCGAAATACGAACAATATGTCTATACAGAAAATTTGTGATTTCATACTAGCAGCTAAAATAAACGTTTAGTCAATTTCAGTATATTAAATTTAGCATTCTAAGATATAAAATAATACATACAAACAAGTCAAACTGATCTCTTAACATCTTCCCATAACCACTCTACCACCTACTATAAATAAATACTTCTAACTTATATATATATGTGGCAACACCATGATCTATTACTTTTAAAATGCAACCGTATGCTATCCTGATGTTGCCTTTAATCGTATCGTCGCTTTACACTGACATTCGTTTTGAAAAGGCAAGGCATCAAACACTGCAACTTTGAGTTTATGCTTTCTTCTGTAAAAACCCGTCAACGAGTAAGGATCACTACATCGTAAAATCCTTTATATATTATGTAATATATAATAATATTAGACCTTAGATAGTCTTTTACAAGCCGAAGGTCTTGGCAGCCAGTGCTTTAGTTGTTAAGTGGAATAATTATTTATAATTATTACTCTTGTAAATAAATATATAAATAAATTTGTAGAAGACACTTGGCCTTGATTGGGAACTTCGACTTCTCCCAAGTTTAATTTATTATTAATGAGCTGTCAGATTATCTGTCGTGTCAGATTTCGCAAAACTTCTGAAAATCTTCATACTGAAATCCAAAGAATCTATGTATTTTGATCATAATTTTTGTGACATACACACATATCTTACTGTACAAGTAAAATATATACATATGTTTCTCTTTTTGTTAGTTACTCAACACTTTTTCTTGCGCATTTCTATAAAGATCTCTCGTTCTCTTAAAATAAGGAAACTTCCAAATTCTGTGAGATATCTACACATTTCCGATTCATCTACACATATGCAAAAGTGATAGATTTTATCATTTCATTACATTATTTCCCATTTCTTTGAGAAACTATCTCTGTGATGTCATATTGTTTCAATAAGGTGCAAAGTGTTAAACGTAAACCATTTTGATACGCCAATGCGTATGAGTAACATTTGCTTCTGCAAGCTGCCATCCACCATAGAAATTGTAATAATAAACTTTCCTAATATTTCAACAATACATGCTATGTGATTATTCTTACAACAAAACAATTCTTCACAACGATGCCATAAATTACTGATGTGGCAAATATATTGAGCCAGACGTTGGAAATTTTTGGCATCAGCTTATGAGCATGTTCACAGACGCTTACTAAAAACGAGCAAATTTGACTTCCATTGACAAAGAAAATAATGATAAGTGCATAGAGAGTTTGGTCTTAGTTGCTGATGCCAGTTAAAGTGTGTGCAATTTGCCAGCGCCGCAACGCGCATATATTCATTTTTAGATTTTCTGTATTCCACAATCATGTTTTTGTAAACATACATATGTACATGTTATGTTTAATGATCTTCTCAGCTTATTTAAGTATTGTTACACTATTTCTCAAAAATCGTTTCCCTGAAAATAGTTGGGAAAGAATAATTATAAGAGTGTAGTTTAATTTCCATGTTTATTGAATTATATTATTTGCACGACTGGCGATCCGTTTTCAATTGTTGACTTTACAACATTTTACCACTGCCAGAAAAGATGCTTTCGGAGAATCTTTAATATATTTAACTGTTTAACCGTAATGTACAAGATAAAGTCAAACGGAAGTACGAAAATTTCTAGTGAGGTACATAGATGGTACTAGTAGTAATTACTTAATTCTACCCATTTCTCGCACAACAACTCATTGGCATCCGGAAAGTAATCCCTAGGAATTTCAATAATATATCTTGCAGATTCAACTATGGGCACTGGATTCCACATTTTCCGAATGGTCTGCTTTTAATAAACTATTGTACTGTAGATTTAATTATACTTTGTAAAATTGTATTTCGATATATTCACTGATATTTGAATTGTTAACCTCAAAGCGAGAGAATCAGAGATGCCACAGTAAGCGACATCGTAATGCGTAATGCTGAATTACGGTTCTGTATTTCAATTTATCCCAACTTTCATTGGGAGCCAAATACATACACACATATACTGCATTTCATTACGATATCAGGAGTGTTGGCGAATCCAGGACAGATTTGAATAGTTATTGGAATTACAAACTAATTCTGATTTCGACGGTCTTTCATAATCTGATTTGATGTTCATATACGAAAAACCAATATTCGAATCGGCTGTTTACTAATGTGCCTAAACATTTATGGAATGCATAAAGACGCATTTGGGTGTTAAATTACGTTTTGAACTCAATAATTAAGACATTTCGTATTTTATTCTTATATTTTCTCCTACCGAAATAAAAATAAATAAATTCGTAACAATAAAATAAATTGATTTCTTAACTTACTTTTCAAAACTGTCAGCGACTATCTTCTTGCCTTGTTTCTGATAGCAAAACCGATACAAATTCTGCTTCGAGCATCAAATCAATAATTTCTGAAGTCATTACACCTAGTACTTTTTATCGGTTTCAATTCTGACAAATATTAAATGCCACAACCATACAGGGTGGCCATGTCAATTTTTGCTAAAATTACGGCGATCATACGTAATTCAACTCGTTCCGACATCCTGATCATTTATATATGCACGTATATATAACTCTATGTATTTCCCTTTCGGTTTTAGATGTCAAAAGCAACGACTATATGAACACATCTATTATAATCTGTTCAACATGTTGCGAGAGTAGAAAGAATATTTCCAATGCATTCCTTTGTTAGACTGTGTAAAGTTCGCCGGCTCAGCTAGTTATGAATAAAACTTAATATAATAGTACCCCAACATTGTCCGCAATGTCAGTGAGTAAGCATTTATGTACACATACATTTGTATAACTGAAATGCAACCTTTCCATTTGGATGCGAAGGCAAGAAATACTCTTTGCTTGAAAAGCGAATTCACCTTCACATATAACAGTTATAATACTCACACACAATCACTAAACAGATGTTTTTAGTTAAAACTACTCTGAAAGACCTCAGTAACTCGACGTGAATCATTACGCAAACAAACCCTTAAATTTATGAATAAACTTTATGGATCACGTGTACAATTTGTAACTAAAGCACTCGTACATAATACACAGAAGCCACAATGCAGTGGCCCAAATTGCAACAAACAGGAAAGGAAAAGAACAATAATCGACAATCGCATTAAAGTTCGCATGTAGCCAGCAAATGGCAACACAACAAGCGCTACATATCAACACTGGCAGCGAACACAACTTTATGGCAACATTTATGAAAAGCCGCATAAAAGTTGCGGCATGCAAGAATGTGCGCTCACAAACACACGCCAGCTGGCGTAAGAAGCGCGTCATAGCAGATCCGACCGCGTCTATGCTGAGGTAATATTTTGAAGCCGCTTCGCGTTGTGAGCGCAGCTGAAACGAGTTGTCTGATGTTGGCAGGTACTAATTTGTTGCTATTGCCGTGGCTGTTGCACACTTTTATGAGGCTATTGTGCCGTGGCATTATACAAACGCTTTTTATATAGTTTATTATCTGCGTATATTTCGAAAAGTATGCTTTTAATAAGAATTAATGCGAGTACATCATGCCACATAGTAAAGCGGCTGATGTTATGGAGTATGCGCTGAGCTGTGGTGCATGTTCGTTAAACAATAATAAACGGTTAATGAAAAGAGTGCACTTCAAATGATGCAACAGCTAGTCAAAGCCGGGAAAAAAGAGATATTAAGTAGAATTGAGGACCGGAAGGGCACATAAAGCGCGAATGATATTCGAGCATGTTGTTGCACATGTAATTACATGAATACTCGTAGGGACATGAATGCGTCGCCTCTTACTTGCTAACACTCACCTGCACCGGCGATGCTGCCATCCACTGCTGAAAGAGATCAGACGTTACCGATGGCCGCTTCGGTGGTTTTCGTGACTCGATGAACTCGTGCAAACGCGCCAAAGCCTCGGGCGGCGCACGCTCCATCAGCCATTTCTCGAAAGCTTCCGGCTTTTCTTCGAATAAACGCGCCACTTCGTCCACCTCTTGCTGCGTGGCTTCGCGACGTGTCACTTTCCCGCCATTGCTACACGTAGTTGCCGCCGTGGAAGTCGCATTCGCTGTCGGACTGCTGCAGTTAATTGGTGAGTTGAGCGCCGTACTGTGCGCGCTACTGCCGGTCGAATGCACTAACGTCGTCATGTCGCAAGCGGAAATCGAATTACTTGTGCTGGTGGTCGAGGTCCCGCCATTGTCCGTGGATGTCATGCGAGCACGCGTAACTGCCACAGTTGTTGTGGGTAACTGCATTGAGCCGCACGAGTAACGATTGCTGGTCAAGCTAGTTGACATGTCATCCGCGTCGCCCGCAACCACCGTACCTGTGTTGTTACTGCGTTGCGATTGTTGGTCGGCTTTTATTATAAGTGGCGGTGGCGATTGCGCCACATGAGCATCGCCATTTGTGAAGGATTTATTTATGCTGACAGCTTGGTCATAGACAGCGTCCTCTTTGCTTTTGGGCAATGAGCCAGTAATATTACCAGCTGACGTAAAGCCAACATCCGTTGTTGTTGTCGCTGATGTTGTTGTCGCTGTCACTGAAGTGTCTGTCATGTTGAATTGGATATGTGGAGCGTAGTTGCTTTTGCTGTGGTTGTTGTCGGGGTTGCTGCTCGTACATAAAACTGGTATGGGAACTCATTGGCAACGACACAACCGGTTCAATAGCCGTTCCATTACATGTCACCGACGCTTGTGCTGTTGTTTAACTCGCCTTAAGATATGTTAGACGATTTGTATGTAAGACTGCTATTAGAGGCGATTATCTCGCCGGTTCGGACGCTTCTAAGTGAACAAATTTTTATTGGTTGTTTTATGCACTTAAAGTTTTGGACATTTCTGAGCGCTTAATTTGCTCTGCTCAACGCCTTACAGCTTCCGGCACGTTCCATTGTACGCCCACTTATAATGTCGCTCCCTCATATACAAGTATGCTATTAGTGCTGTGTGTATTCACTCTAGTTATAATCCAATTGCGTCTCCACACTCACACCGAAAGTGCAGCCCAATAGCCACCACGTTTCTCGCTTCGTCGCTTCACTGGCAACCTGTTATGTTTTGTATGCTGGCAATCATTGTCTGGTTATCCTGTCGGTTTACTGTTATCCTTTGCACCTGCTGCTAAGCAGATAATTGATGGCCGCTTCCTGATTTACTTGCTACTGCTGCAGRGTAAGTGTGTTTTGATTTTCGATACTTGAGCAGGGCGAGTCTTTACTGCTAATACTTGGAAATTGCTACTTCACTCAACAAATTGCTTTATTAAACTGCCTTCACCGTAGAGCTACGTTTTCTTTTTAATTTCAATATTTTTACTCTTTATTAATCAATTGAATGGTCTCAAATGCTCACTTTATTAATATTAGCACAACTTCGTTCAATCAAGGAACTATAGGTGAATATCCAGCTGCGCATCAAATCGAGTTAGTTCGCCAGTGAGTTCTTCATTATATTACTGCGATTCATTGTTGAGTAATGAATTCATTTCATTCTCGGTACTTTCGTTTATAATTTATTTGTCTCAATTAAATAAGTTCGTAAACATCTGGTTGCGAACGTGGAAGTTTATCTGGTTGTTGCTGAAAAAAGTAGTTGGCTTTTTAGTTTGAACGTATTGCTAAAAGTATTCGTAAAATCCTTATAAATTTATAAAATTTAAATTCATTTCGAACTAATTACATGTCTGAAAAGTTTAAAGATATTTTCGTATATATACGAATAAGTGAGTATATGTACCGTATATGTATTATCTTAAAGAACCTGCATTACTAGCCCTCACATATTCCAGCTTTTAGTTGTTTAGAAAGTAAACTGGCTGAACACATCCGTTCTCTGAATATACCTCCACTCGGTATTTGTATTTTCCAATCTTTTGAAGACTTGCACAATCCTTGTTTTAAAAAGAAGTTATAATTCCCTTTGAGCAGAAAAAGCTAAATTTATTATTATATTATGACTGACTTTGGCCAATAAACCAAAGGAAATGTATATGTAAATACTAGAAGCTCCGGCCACTCGTTGCTGTGGAATACGTTTCATATTTTTATTCATATAATAAAATATGCAATGCAGTGAAAATATTATAATATTAACAATAAAGGCGGTAATTTTTCGGTATAAGAATCCAAGGGATTGGAGGTCTAATTTTGAATATGTTCATACAAATAAATTTCATTGAAAGAAATAAGGAGCAGCCTTAAAGCTGCTTTCTCAATGTCTGGTACCAGAGTTTCTGCCAAGTTAATAGAGTTGTCCTCTTTAGTAGATTGTACTTGATTGTACTTGATTGTACTTGATAAACATCAACAATCTGCATGGTTAATGGAGCTGTCCGCTTAATAGGGCGCCCATTTAAGAGAGCTTTCACTTTATTCTTTATTTATGAATCATTTTAAATATCCTATTTTCTAAGTTGATTCGAACTGAACACAGTGCGCTAAATTTTACTAAATTCGGTTCAGAATGTTTAGGAGTCCATCGAGGACAAACAACGTGACACGTGCTTTTTATATATGAAGATAAATAAAAGTCAGTCAAACAGTCAATAAGTAGTCCTAATCACAGAATTTATATTAAGCTAAAAAATAATGAAAATATTCAAGTATCTAATACAGAATCTAAACTAAAATTTAAAGAGAAAAATTCAACATAATGATTAGTTTCCATACCACAAGAGTAACAACAAAGAATATAATTATTCAAAACTTAATTTCTAAAAGATAAACCCAACAACACATGATTTCTTTCACTATATTTTTTATTTTCTCTTAAGCTGACAATAATTTTATTCTTATATTATTCGAGTAGATGTAAATCAAAAGATATCTTGAGGAATTAATATAAAGAATTTGTTATGGATAGAAATTGCTAATTTTTTGCGAGCTAATTTTCGTCCAGCCGTTCGATACCAAACGAGGTTTCAGACAAGGCGACTCCTTTTCATGTGACTTCTTCAAACTACTCTTGGAGAAAGTAATTCGAGTTGCAGAACTAAATAGAGAAAGTACCACAGTTGCTGGTGTATGCCTATGATATTGATATCATCGGCCTCAACACCCGCGCCGTTAGTTCTGCTTTCTCCAGACTGGAAAAGGAAGCAAAGCAGATGGGTCTGACAGTCAACGAGGGCAAGACGAAATATCTCCTGTCATCTCGTCGTTTCACTCGCGACTTGGCTTTCACGTCACTGTTGACAGTCATAACTTTGAAGTTGTAGATAATTTCGTCTATCTTGGAACCAGTGTAAACACCACCAACAGTGTCAGCCTGGAAATCCAACGCAGGATAACTCTTGCCAACAGGTGCTACTTCGGACTGAATAGGCAATAGAGAAGCAAAGTCCTCTCTCGACGAACAAAAACCAAACTCTAT